GGCCCCAAGTCCCTGTGCCAGAAGCAGCTGCTGGTCCTCATCTCCAAGGTGCGGCTCTGCGGGGGCCGCAAGGGCCGGCTCGAGAAGTCCCCTGGTGAGTACAGCCTGGTCCTGGGCCCTAGATGGACCCAGTGGGCTCTGGGCGGGGGGCCTGTGGGCTTGCTGGGGGGTGTAGGCAGGCTCTCTGTTTACTGGAGGTCAGCATGGATGGACCAGTATGGACCAGTCCTGGGCACTACAGGCTCAGTGGATGTGGGGTGGGGGGTGTATGGGGCACTAGGGGGCAGCATGGACCAGTATGGACTAGTCCTGGGCACTATGGGCCCGGTGGAAGGGGGTTGGGGGTGTATGGGGGCCTATCTGCTCACTGGGGCCCAGCATGGACCAGTCCTGGGCACTACAGGCTGAGTGAAGGGGGGTGTATGGGGGCCTCTCTGCTCACTCGGGGCAAGTATGGACCAGTCCTGGGCACTAGGGACCCATATGGACCCAGCTGTGGGGGAGGCTGATGGTGTATGGACCTGCCAGAGGGTGCATGAGGTGTCTCTGGTCACTAGAGTCCCTGTCACTGGGAGCCAGTATGGACCAGTGCAGGTCACTATGGACCCATATGGACTCAGTGGCAGGGAAGTGGGGGGCAAAATGTTATGTCGGGGGTGTCTGGGGGGGGCCTCTCTGCTTGCTGGAGGCCAGAATGGACCAGTCCTGGGCACTATGAACCCATATAGGCCCAGTGGATGGGGCCTGGGGGTGTATGGGGGGATCTTTGGTCACTGGGGGCCAAAATGGACTAGTCTGGACCAGTGCTGTCACTTGGGATCTGTATGGGCCCAGCAGGGAGGCTGAGGGGTGTATGGGGGGCTTGCTGGTCCCTGTGAGGCCCCTCTGGTCACTAGGGGCTAGAATGGACCATTGTTGGGCACTATGGGCCTGTATGGGCCCAGTGGGGGCTGGGGGTGTATGAGCCAAGTAGGTACTGGGGTGGGGGGTGGCATTATGGACCAGTGCTGGGCAGTATGACCTGTATG